AGGTACGTTTACATTTTATCATTCACTAGTGTTGAGACTCATCTGATGATTAAAGGATGTTGAAAAGAAATTAATCTATAATATTGAGTATCATATAAATGAAGATGCGTTCTACATGATGTATTGAAGAAAAAAAGTTTTTTTTTATCCCCTCTTGACTTATTTGATTTTAGTCTTCTAGCAGTATTGGAACTGTTCCAGGCGATAGCTATGATTGTTTGGTTATCTTATATAGATATTTAGGGAACACATGGTTTATAATAACCGGATGCGGTCACAAATCACTCCCTCTTCATCAGGATGGTTGGCAACCTTTTTCAGACATCTCTATCCTTTTGTTTTTTTTATGGGATAGGATTATTAGCTCTGTGCCCAACCCCTAGTCTGGAGGACCAAGGAGCTATGTTGTTAGACAGGGGTCGCTCACCTTCCTGTGAATCTCAGGCTGGGAACGTTACTGTAGTGGTCTAAGCAATCGAGTAGGGGCTGCACTTATTTACTTTAATTTATTATTAATTATTTATATTTTTATCTTTTTTTTATTATTAAATCCTGTGAACAGAATTTCAAACTCATAGCATAAAATTTTTACAGGCGCCTTGACTCGCTTGACCACCACAGAAAGAAAAAAAAAGTAATTTAACTGTTCTTTGATTTTCTTGTAGTTAATGTTCAATTTAATATATACTATACAATAGTATATTTTAATTAGTCACAACAGTGTTTTTTCAACTCTTTCAAATAAGAAAAACTATAATCATAAAAAATTTAAATCATTTATAGCACTGGGTAAAGTGAAATCTCATTATTTAGCTATGATCTACTATTTTCTTCAATAATAATAATAAAAAGACATAATTTGGCTTATGTTACTATAAGATTTATATATTATTCTATTTATTTCATTATGGAATAAACACACTTTTTATTTCCTTGAAGCAGGGAGTTTTCATCCTCGTATCCATGGCAAAGTGTTAAAATAATAAAAATAAAAGTTGATATTGGATTGTCCAGAAAATAATGCAGGATATTATTTTAAGAAGAAAATAACACCTGTTTTGTCAAAATAGTCTCTACTACTATCAATGGGATAATAGTAGAGACAAGAGTCGCAAAACAAACTTATACGAAAATCACGTGTTGATATGTTAGTAAAGATTGAATTATTTCTAAGCAGCGAAATGCCATAGAGGTAAACAAACATAATCGTTTCAAAGAGGATTAATAAGTGTTGATATTCATATGAATGAATAATCCAGTAAACGTAAACAGTTTGTTATTTAATGGGGTATTTTAAAGAAAACTCAAAATTCTGCATTATTTTCTGGACAACCTAATAAATTAAATAGGTAAAATTTATTAATGATTTAATAAATAAAAAGTTACTTTAGACCTTGAAATATTACACAAACCTGTTACAACTTATACTGGTATTAATTGTAGAAATTAGTTGTCACTCATGCTATTTTTAACTTGTACTGTTGCTACATGATTTTGATATTTGGTGGTTTTTAAAATGTTATAGTTATAGTTAATTTTTGCATATACTTACCTAAGTTCTCTCGATAAATACAAATAGGATTATTATTTAATATTGTCGTTTACACAACCTTATTTCCTCTTTAATGATAATTAAAATACAACTTTCATAATAAATGTACAGTGTATTATAATAAATACAATGTTATAATAAATGATGCACTAGTTTTGTTGCTTTTTAATTTTAATTAGTTTTGTGCCTGCCAGTATTTTTGTAACCTGGAATGCACATGCGTCACAAAAAGGTTGAGAAGCCCTGCCTGTATTCTATATCTGTTTAAGATCCAGTAATATCTTTAATAGATACTTACAACTTTTAATATTGACTTATTATATGGTTGTGTTTGGCAATAAGAGAATATATGATGAGTATATAACCGTCAGCTTTAGCTTCCTTCATTTCACAGGAATCATCATTTTTCAATAATTCTTATCCCATTAAATGTGTCACAGTTGCAAATTTGATGACTTGGTCTGCACAAAATGATTCATGAATACAACAATGTCTGGCGAAAGATATCTCTAGGTCTGGGATGAATGGAGGATATGATGTCATGGAGGCTATATTAAGAGTTATATGTAGATACGCAATAAATATCAAAAAAACAAGCTAACCGATTTATGTCAAACTCAAGAAATCATAGACATATGCATATACCCCATCAAACACAACAATAAAGAAAGTATTTGATTCATGAGAGTTATGATGATGAAAATTAATTTGAAATTGGGTTGAAAAATTAATTTTTTAGTTATATTCTCAAAAAGGTGGCTGGTTTGGCAATAGGAAGAAATTTTTTGATAAAATAATTAAATTATTAGGATATGGGGCCAGTCTTTCAAATTTTCTTGTATTTTACCAAGATTTATGTTGTTTTTTCTTTTTATATCATAATTAGCCCAGTCACCCATTACATTTTATCTTGCATCAGATTGGTTAGTAGATTTTTTTTAAAGAGAATTTTTGTTAGTAGAAGAGCAATTCCACTTTCAACTGCTGAGTTTTTCGAAGCACTGGGCATAGAAAGGAGCCATCTGCAGAATATGGCAGAATCTATTATTTTAGATTCATTAGGAATCCTGCATCATCATCTGTATTAATTCTGGCCATTTTGTTATGAGCATTACCTGGGTCAGTTAGTATTTATTTTTTTCCTAGTTCCAAGAAGTTAATCTTGAAACTCCTGCTCTGCCAACCTCTCGATAACGGTCAAGGGTTGGCAAGAAGGCCCACTTACTGGAGTAATTCCTCCCACCAGTACCAGTAGTTTAAAATTTTCCATTGTTATTTATACATGAAAAGTGTTCAAAAAGTAATTAATGAGAATTGTCATTTTTTTTTTAAACAGTTATATTTATTAATCCATTACAATGTAATAACCTTCAAGGTAGTTCCATTAGATATTGTATACTTATGCTAGAGCTTCTTCCAGTCCTTGAAACACTTGATATTTGGAATAGTATAAAGCTTTCTTAGCAATGCGTTTTTAATTTCATCTATGGTGGAAAAAGTAACATGGAGCCTATATCAGACAAATATTGAGGTTGGAACATCATTACAGTTTGTATGCCAAAAATTTAGGAGCAAGCGATGAAATGTGTGTATATGTATTGAAAAAATTTCATGGCATGTGCCAATTAATATACCAACCTCATAAACAACTTTGTGATCTCTGATTGTGATTCAGTAATTGTTCATAATCATTTCTTTGATTTTTTTTTGTCTTTTCATCAGTTGTTGATATGCTGGGTCATCCAGAATGCTTATTGTCATTAACTCCTTCACAGTCATCATGGAAACACTTGTACCACTTCTAAGCACTTGTTTTACTGGTACCAAACTCACCAAAAGCAATATTTAACATTTCTAAAGCTGTTAAATTTTATTCTGTTTTGACAGCAAAATTTAATGCAAATTCCGTGATCCATTTTTCCAACAAATCAAAAAGTTACTCTTGCAAGCAAACACACGTAACCTTCTTCACAAATTAAACTAAGAATAAGAAGAAAAGAAACTTATCACCCAATATAGCTTCCAGTTTAGAGATAGAGATTTAAGACGTGTTAACCAACCAACATAACTGAAAAATTGTACGAATCCAACTAATATTATCCAATGTTATCCAACTAATAACCCGCAGAATATTAAATTTCTATTTACTTTTTGAAATATCTTGTATTCTTTTATACTTGTTTAATTTATTTATAAAATTAATTATTAGTTTGAGTTTTGAAATACCATACTTCCTGGAGGTAGAGCAGCATAAGATATAGACTTAAGTGCACTGATATCTAAAATCTTATCTGTCATATCACTTTAAGTTTTTCAATCTTGGCCTGAAAGCTATGAGATGAGAAGCTGAAGCTGTTGAACGAGTTGTAGGCAATCTTTGGATGAATAATTGTTAAATGATATCTTCCAATGTATGATCGCAAACAGCTTTCGTAGCCCGAAGAAGTAGGAATGGTTTTTTATCACCTAGTTCTATCTCAGATAAATTTTTTTTCTGTTACATTGCATTGCAGACCTTGTAGATCTTTTGCCACCTTAACAAGCTAGTTAGCGGCAGGAAAAAGAGAGAAATGGCGGTCTAGGGTAGGCTTTGACTTAATAAGTAGGTTGTGATGCCATATAATAATTATAATAATAACAAGCTACTCAATCTCTGCCTATCTTGGGCTATTTCTTTTTAAATAATAATTTTTGAATTTTTTATTAGTCAATTTCAGTACACCTTTTAATGATGCCATCTCTAAGTAGTTTGTAATCTGGTTGAGGATCAGTAGCTCTCAGGACATCAGCAACCTGTTCTTAAGCTGTCCAGTGCTGACAATAATAAGTGGTTAAACAATGATTTTTCTTGAGTGATTTTCATGAGTTTGAACTGTGATTCAATTTGTCTCAACCATATATTAACATCTGAATTATAAAATATGGGAATTTTAAGTAATATGGTTTACTATAATCTCCTATCTCTCCGCTGAAATCTTGAAATATTTAAAGGCTGCTTCCAATTGAGTGATGCTTTGCTACGGACGGGTTCACCTCCCGTAGGCCAAAACCTTCAAATAGCTAACCTATGGTTCCAAGAGGCAGAAGTAAGATGGCACATATAGTTGTGGAAGATCCCATTCAAGAGTTACATAAAATTATTGGTTATACAGGGTATAACCAAGAAATGTTGTCACTCAGAAAGAGGGGAATGGATGATGTGGCTGTTGAAAAATCTTCTGTATATATATCAAGTGTCATGTGATTAAATTAAGATCACATGTTTGTTTGGTTATAAAATATTTTGGTTATATGGCTTATAAAAAAAAATATAGAGTTTTCTTTTTGTTTGAACTTTGAGTCTTGATCTTTTTCTTATTATATTAATAACTACAAAAATGTAATTTTTATGTCTTAGGTCTAGTGTTTTTCCTTTTCATTATTTAACCTTAACCTATTGTATTCACAGTAATAAACCAAATCCAGCTGCGTTGAACAACAACAAGGGGATTGTCAATGGCACTAGCGACATCACCAGTAATAAGCCTTGTGAATCTTGCAGTTGTAAGTTGTATTTTTTTCATTACAATAATAATATTTTTATTATAAGAATATATATACAAAATTAATGCATCACTACAGTATTTTAAGTTAAAATTGAACTAGTTGTCTCCACCTGCTATTTATTTATCTATTGGTATTTAGGAGAATTTAGATGAATATAAACCATAAGTAATGCTTTATTTACACTTGAGGATTATTTTAATCTTGATTTCCACAGAAATTAGCATTAGACTGATACTGTTCACCCCTCATAAATTTAAAAATTCTTTTTCATCTCCTTAGCTTACTACTACACACTTTTTTTTTCTCAAAGGAAGGGTTGTCCTAGGTTGGTTTCCATCAGGATTGTTAGAAGAAGGCTTAATAAATGTAACCCTATAACCTTAGGGCTTGATATTCAGCTCATGTATGTCCCTCAGCTTACCACAGCTCACAAAATGGTCAGACTTCGATTCGTACAAAACTAATGTGAATTAGACATTGGAAGAGTTCTTTTCACAGATGAGGTGAGAGTTAGTCGCAACTCTCTAGATGGCTGTGTTTACACATGGAGACGCCCAGAAGAAAGAACGGATGTTTTCTAAGAACGGTACAACATTCTCAGTACTTAATTGAATATCTTTTCAAGGGATGCGATTCATGCAAGGGGTGGAAGTATCCACTATTGACTTAACAAAAATTTGTTTTCTTTTTAATTTGCTTTTTCGAACTTAATCAGGAGCTTAACTTAGAGAATCAGGAGCAGTGTAGCTCAGTGAATTATACATAAGGAGAACGGAGGTAAATGAGAATTTAATCACCTTAACTGGGATGTTTGGTCCGAAATCATTGGTTTGGGAATTATAAATGGATTTAATGAGGTTGTCAGGAGTGATATGGGACAAGAAAAAATATTGCTATTGAAGAAGGGATGAATGGGAGTCAGAGCTGGTGTCTGGAAAGAGGAATGGGAGGAAACAGGAGGCAAAGTGGGTGTTGAGTACGTCGGCTGAAATAGGGGTAGATTGGATTTGTTTGGATTTATAATGATACAGATAATACAATAATGATACAAATAATATAATGATGTGCTGTGTAATATAATATTATACCTTACTGAAAGATTAGTAATCAAGTAATTAGTAATTTTAGGATATTTAGTGATCAGTTACTGCATTTTTCATTTTTTTTTACAGCATATTTAATTTTTTTTTTACTGCATATTTTGTGGGTTTTTAGTGCATACAAAGCTTGAACCTTGATTTAAAACATAATGCATTTGTGAAAAATTCTTATAACTAAAAATATAAAAAAAGTAGTTAACTATAAAACAGTCATAGCGGTATTGGTTTATTATGTTATTCCGTTCTAGACTGTTTCTGGAAGGAATCTGTCAAAAAAGAAGTAACTTACTGATTAATCTGAGCAGGAGCTCACTTAAGAAAATTATAGCAGATACAGGACACCGTAAACTGAATTATCATGTGTTTAAACTCTGGCTCACGGAGTCGTCTCTTTGTAGGTACTGTGGCTGGGAGGATGAGACAGCTTATCATATTACTTGTTGGTGCGACAGGTTTGCTAGAGTAAGATTCTGATTATTCGGCATTGATAGGGTGACTGATCCCAAGGCAAACGAGTTTATCAATCCAACAAGCTTATTACAGTTCATTGAGACTGCAGGAATTACACTCTAAACAGGAGTGACTTTAAATAATGCGTACAATAGGCCTACATGGCTCGTTTAAAAAAAAAAAAAAAATGTTACTCCGTTATAATAAATTCAATAGACATATAACTGAAGAATGAAATGCAAATAACTTCATAATTCTGGGACTAGTGCTCCTTTAGAACAAATTATAAATGCCGAATATAAATAAACATATCAGTGTGTCCATATTTATTATTATTGTAATGGCACTATGGTCCTGCAAGAACTTGGGCCTCCTCCACTACAGCCAACCAATCTCCACGGTCTTGTGCTATTTCCCTCCATCTTCGAACGCCCGGCCGCCTCAGATCATCCTCCACATCCTCTAGCCATCTGATTGGAGGGCCCCCTCCATTTCTTATGCCACCCGGCTTCTCATACAGCAGCTTCTTTGTCATTCTTTCCACACGACCTATCCATATTATCCAGGCTCTTTTTATCAATTCCACAATATCAGGTTCTCCTTAAAGTTTCCCCAGCTCCTCATTCTTTCTTTTTCTTCATATTCCATTCTCGGAAATTATGTTCCATATTCTTTTCAATACGTTTCTCTCCCAGGAGTTGAGCATGTGTCCTGAGTTTTTGGTTAAGGTCCAAGTCTCACACCCATACCTAACCACTGGCCTTACTATGGTTTTGTAGATGAGGATTTTGATTCTTTTAGAGAGTGATCTAAATTTTAAGTCTCTTTGCAGTGAGAAATAGCATTTTTCCTGCTGCTATCCTGTTATTTATTTCTCTCTCTATTTTATTACACTAAGTGTGTCCGTAACTTAAATTAAATATTTAAAAAAATGATTGGTAATGTAAAGTAAAAATACAGGTAACGCAAAGTACTCCTTCAGGGAAAGATATAAAAAAAAAAAAAAAAACATACATAAATATAAAATCAGCAGAGAAAAATAAAATAAACAAACAAAATAGTATCTGGGGGTTCTTAGAGAGTTCAATATTCTGAACCAGCTAGTTCATCAAACTAGAAAACTAAATTAGTTCCTTTAGCTCTTGGGATTCCTAAGTGAACCGTGAACTACAACTGGTGCCATCTATTGTGACACGGATGGTACTAGATCTGTGAGATCATCTACTCCAATTTAAATATATTTTAAGTAATAACAATCTGTATAATTGACTTATAATATTATTTAATAAAATTCATTATAAATTACCAATTCTTGGTGTATGTTTAGAATTTTAAATACTAAAAGGAACAAAATATTTCTGTATTCATCCTTTGAAATATTAACATGTTTCAAAAATAGTCTGTCCATGACTTCGGTTTTAATATTTTAACTTACCTAATATTAAAAGTACGATAATGAAAAATTATTTTCAAGGAAAACAAATCCTTTTTTTAATCTCTACTTCAGTGAAAAATAGTGAAGTACTTATCAGAAACAAATGCGAATTTTCACACTTACCAGCTGAGGCAGGAAAGAGCTTTACGAGTAGTGATAAGAAATTTACATTCCTCAACCCCCACTGAAGTTATTAAAGAAGAACTAACGACGCTTGGTTTCAATGTACGCCAGGTAACAAACGTTTTGAAGGAGGACAGGGAGCAGCCAGGATTACGAAATAGGATCCCACTACCATTGTTTTTCGTGGACTTGGAGCCATCACCAGGTATCGAAAAAATATATGATATCACAAGAATATACTACACAATGGTGAAAGTTGAGAAGCCATATCCCAAGAGAGACATCGTGCAGTGCCATAATTGTCAGACCTATGGCCACACGAAGACATATTGCCACCATCTGCCGCGTTGCGTGAAGTGCGGTGAACAGCACAAATCTGTAGAGTGCACCAAACCTATACAAGATCCAGCAGTATGTGCCCTATGCTTGGAGGGACACCCGGCCAACTACAAAGGCTGCCAAATTTACAAAAATCTCAAAACCAGACACCAGAAAAACCGGATTCAAGATGAAGCACTAAGAACAAGAAGAGAGAGAGAGCCTTCCAGAATTGTAAACAATGATGTATCATTCTCCCAACTACTTAGAGGTAAGACTTTAACCGATAAATGTCAAGCCCTGCCACAACAACCTCAAACCCAACCTCAAAATCCTCTTCATCCTAATATACCTAACCACCAACAACAAATTCCTCATATTCCTCCTCCTTCAAATGCAACAGATCTCACAAGTTTGTTAGCATCTTTCCTCACCGATTTCAAATCCCTTGTTACTCCACTCATATCACTCCTCACGAATCTTGTATCTCACCTCATCCCTCCTCTGAAAAATCCTTAAATGACTCACATCCCTAAACCCATATCCATTCTCCTTTGGAATGCGAATGGTGTTAGAAATCATACAGACGAACTATCTACTTTACTACTTGACAAGAACATTGATGTGGCACTAATTACTGAAACTCGACTAACCACTAAACAGCACTTCAATATACCACAATACCTGACATATCGTACTGACCACCCTGACGGAAAAGCACATGCCGGTACTGCTGTAATTGTACACCAATCCCTCTCCCATCACGTACTCCCATTACCAATACATGATTTCCTACAGTCCACCGCTATCGTGATAAAAACCTTCTCCTTTCCGGTCACTCTTGCATCAGCGTATTGCCCTCCTAACCGATCCATATCCAATGCCCAATTCAGTTCTCTCCTCGACTCCTTAGGACGTCACTTCATCTTGGGTGCAGACCTAAATGCCAAGCACCAACAATGGGGTTCCAGAACCACGAATTCTCGTGGCCGAACCCTGCTGTCTGCACTCAATTCCCAACGTTTTCACCTCCTTTCCCCCAACTCTCCTACCTACTGGCCCACAGATCCCAACCGTAATCCTGATCTTCTTGATTTCTTTATCCACAGCGGCTTAAGTCCCCTCAATTGTTCCATTACACGTCTAAATGAACTTTCCTCTGACCATAGTCCTCTAATCCTTAATGTTTCACTTCAACCTGTTCCCAAACCTTCTCCACCGTCATTCATTAGGGGCCCAGTAAACTGGGACCTTTTCCGCCAAATAATCTCCGATAATATTGATCTCAACATATCCCTCAAAACTCCCGATGACCTTGATAGTGCCGTAAATTCCTTTACTACCACAATCCAACAAGCCGCCTGGACTGCCTCCTTCCCTAAAGACTCCTCCAGAATTCCTAAAAAGACCATTCTACCCCAACACCTCCTTGACCTAATCCACACCAAACGCCGTGCCAGATTATTGTGGCAACGTACCCGACATCCTGCCGACCGCTGCTCCTATAATTATTACTGCAAAAAATTAAAACTGGAATTAGCCACCTTCAGATCACATTCCTTCAACTCCTACCTATCCTCCCTCTCTTCTCGCGACAATTCCCTTTGGAAAACCACAACCAAAATCCTAAATCCTCACCGCATTTCCCATCCCCTCCGACGAGATGATGGCTCCTGGGCAGCATCTGACGAAGATAAGGCTGAGGAGTTCGCCATTCACCTATCCAATACATTTATTTCACATCCGGAATCCCATCCTGCCCACACCATAACAGTAGAAGAACTCCTTACATCACCAATCCCACTTTCCTTGCCCCCAAAAGCTATTCATCCTTCCGAAGTGAAATTTCAATTAAAAAAACTAATCCCCCGTAAAGCTCCTGGACATGATCTCCTTACCCCTCAAATCCTTCGACAACTTCCATCCAAAGCAGTCATATTCCTTACATATATCTACAATTGTATCCTACGCACCACCTACTTCCCTCTGCTATGGAAACACTCCACTATTATCCTTTTTCCAAAACCAGGCAAACCTCCCAATATCTCAACATCCTATAGACCAATTAGCCTACTCCCAATCCTTTCAAAAATTTTTGAAAAGATCCTGTTGAAACGAATCCTACCCATTATAGAATCCCAAAATATTCCTTCCCATCAGTTTGGTTTTCGCTCCCAACATTCTACTGTTCAACAAGGACTCCGAGTTGTTGATCATATTTCCTCAGCTCTAGAAAACAAGGAATACTGTTCGGGTGCATTTCTGGACATTGCACAGGCATTTGACCGGGTATGGCACTCCGGACTGCTCTTCAAGCTTAAAATCCATTTACCTCAGTCCTTGTACCTAGTCCTCCGATCCTACCTCTCTGACCGCTCCTTCCGAGTTCGCTGTGGAACAGAATTTTCCAATATCTACTCCGTTAAAGCCGGTGTTCCCCAAGGCAGCGTCTTGGGTCCCGTGCTTTACATCCTCTTTACTGCTGACATCCCTGTTCATCCCGATACTTTTCTTGCAACATTCGCTTACGACACCGCAATCTTATCATCCAACTCTGATCCCAACATAGCATCCTTAAATCTCCAAAACCACCTCACCTTGATTGAGCACTGGTGTAATAACTGGCGCATTAAAGTTAATGAATCTAAATGCCTACATATTACCTTTACACTCCGACGCAGCTCCTGTCCACCAGTACACTTTAATTCCATCCAGCTTCCTTACTCAGACACAGTCCGGTATCTTGGTTTTCATTTAGACCGAAGACTAACGTGGAACCCACATACTAGACTCAAAAGACAAGAATTCAACCGACGATACGGCCAACTATACAGACTACTAAACAGAAAATCCAAACTTTCTATTGAAAACAAATTACTTATCTACAAGACAATACTGAAACCTATATGGACATACGGACTTGAACTGTGGGGGACAGCAAAAGCTTCTAACATCAAACGTATTCAATCCTTTCAATCTAAAGTCCTTCGAACAATAGTTGATGCTCCGTTCTATGTAAATAACAAAATCCTACACCATGACCTTAATATCCCATTTGTCCTAGACCTTATTCCAGAAAAATTCTCCAAATTTCACCAGAACCTTACCTATCATCCAAATCCCCTTGCACAATCTCTATCCAGCACCACCCATCCTTACAATCCTCCTCGAAGGTTGAAGCGGCAGTGGCCCAGAGACCTTCTGTAAATAAGCATCTATTGGAGTTTTGGCAATGGCCAGATCCTCCACTCAAGCCCGAGTGTGTATGATTAGGTTAGTTCTTTTGTTTATATACATTTATTTTATTTTATTGTATTTAATTTTATTTTATTTTATTGTATTTATTATTATTAAGTTTCTGTATTATTATTATTTTTTTTTATTTATGGTAAATAGAGTGTGAGTGTGTTATCTGAACACTATTACAAGTGTCCTTGATGTGACAGAATGTAATATTTCTAAATAAACAAATATAAAAAAAAAAAAAACTTCAGTGTAAGGACCATAGGTCTTGGTTTTCTCTTTACATTCTCTAAAGAAAACACCTACAATTCCTCTAATTTTGTTTTTGTGGTAGTTCACGAAGAAATATAGTTCAACAAAAGTGAGATCGGTCCTCACAGTTTCTTTTCGTGAACTAGTTCGTTTACAAACTACTGATCAATAATTTGTTAAACACAGCAGTTAAGTGCAGAGGAGAATAGAGGTTGGACGTACGGGAAGTACAAATTTCTTTTATCATTTTTTTTCATTCCTTTTACCAATTTTCGTTTATTATGTCAAGTAAACTGGATAGAAGGAGAATTATCCATTCTCAGACCAAAAACGTTTCTGTGAACATATATAAACTCATGATAGGGTTTTGGAGAGGTGGAACTTAAATGGAGGAGGAGTGCATGAGCTCCCTTCCTCTATAGGCATACTCATCGTAGATGCACTATAATATGCTTATCTCTTGAGATTCTGAAGACAAAACTTATTGAACAATCCATTAGACATTTAAGTTTGGCTTCGAGTTTCCCAAGAGTTTGCCATACACCATACAGCTATAGTTAAAGTGGGAAAAATTAATGTTAATAAAAATAAGAAAGAAATAAGAACTAGATGTTTATTATAAATAAGAGATAATGCTACAATCAACTAAAGAAACAGGATCAAAAATCAGTGTGGATCATGAGTCTGGTACTCATGCTTAATGTTAATTATAACTGAAGATATTGATAAAATAATAAATATAATTAATGTGCATTAATAATAATTATATTCATTTTTAATTACAGCTTTTAATATATATATATATATATATATATATATATATATATTATATATTTTTTTTTTTAATGACAAATTACAGGTTGTTAAATTATAAATATGACAATACGATAAAAAAAAAATATATGAATGCTATGTATTTGAAAATAAAAATGTTATTCCAAAATTTCATAAAATAAATAAAGTCTTATTATCGTTATCAAAAGAGTCTTTATCTCATCACTGGTCTAAATTGATTTCTTATACGTTTTACTCCTATATTGTTAATCATTATTAATTCAATTTTGTTTTAATTTAATTTATATCTATGATAATGATAATGGATTAATCATCTAGGTCTATCTATCCCTTCATTTGCCACTACATGTTATTTTCTTTTAATATCTGTGTTATATAAATCGCAATAGGTTTTTTAGAAAGGGTGAGAACTAGTTATATGTGCTTGTGTTATTGGGACCATTTTTCTATACGGACACATTAATTATAATTTGTCAACCCTTATAGTTAGTTTTATTCCATTTTTGTTTATCTTTTTTTTTTATTTTAGTATATTTTATAAATTGCCTTCAATTGTGTATTTCAATTGGTTCCCATAAATGGAGTCTTACTGGCAGACTTGGCCAACAGGCAAAGACCCTCAGTCCAAGCCCTCAGTCATGCATGTTTGTTGAGCACTATCAGTTAAACCTTCAAACTTGGCCAGCAAAATTCCAAGTATGCCAGTAAGATAATGGTTAATTAAATGCAATTTTAAGTAAACGTTTATCTTTTAAAGTCTATCATAGTTTTCAGTTTTATATTGGTTGGTTAGTTAGTTCGGAAATTTTAATGGTAATGGATTTCGTGTTATTTAGTATAGGTTATATGTTGCATGAGATATTAAAGCTTATGATTTACGTTTTCATTTATTTATCTCTATTGTTTATATAATTTTTTGGTATTATTTTATAAGAAAAAATGTGTACTAAAGGTTGTTAGATTATTTTTTAACTATGTAATAATTTTTATAAATTAAACTATTTTATTTTTTCAAATAAAATGTGCCTCCTTTGTTAAAAATTTAATGGATAAAGGGAGACTAATGCATTTTGTTTTTTATTTTATTTTATTTTTTTAAATTAAAGGCTTCAACCACTGGAGTCATTATTGATTTATTTTCATTGAGAATTATATTTTATTTTCAAGTTTCGAACATTTCAGAAAAGAAAATAATTTGTCAATTTCTTTTTTATTGTCCTGTAAAATGGTGTGTAGATCGTTTGTCAAGTAACAATCTAAATTACTATACTATATATTTTTACTATAGCATTCAAAAACTTAATACCTTGGCACTATCAGTATTTTTTGTTAGATATATATTTTTTTTAGGCTCAACCTCGTCTCAGTGGTACTCTTGGGGCCCGTCACATATGCAGTGTAAACTATGCCATGGATGTTGGTGCTATTGGAAGAAATATGGTGGATTGAAAATGCCATCAAAATTAAGTTAGTCTCTTTTTTTTTATTGATCTTTCTGAAATGGTTTATTTCCTCTGTTTATGTTAATTACATCTGCAACTTTTTTTAAAAAAGTTTCTTCATGTTGTCTAATTACTGAAAATAATTTATAATATTAATATTAGACTTTTTTTATGATTCTTTTCATAAAAATTTTTTGTTGTGAATTAATGTAATTTCCCATTGTTTTAATTTTTTTTTTTAATGTTGAAGGTGAAAATGATTTGGAACTTCCTAAGAAGAAACCTGGGAGTATTTCTGATGAAGGTATATTTGTTAATCCACCATGTTTACTTATATTTTTAAAGTATTTTTAATACTTTATAATGTTTACTTAATGTAAAAATGTTTACTTATTTTGTGATTTAGAACGAGTCCCATCTACCATGACTTCACATAGACCACATCGTTGCAGTATAATTGGCTGTGCAAAGGTAATTTACTATTTACTGTTTTATTATCTTACATGATGGTGTTTTGAAGTGATTGTATTAATTTTAGGAGTTCAAAGTTAAGGCTCAGCTTGCTCGGCATTATGCTACAGCTCATGGTATTGCTGTTAGGGCAGGCTCACCTAGGCCAATTATGAAGACACGTACTGCATTTTATTTAGCCACCACACCCTTAACAAGGTTATCCAGAAGATTATGTCGTAATTTTCTTCAATGTCGGCATGCTGCACGATCTCCATTTTGGTCTATAAATGCTCAGGCCATTAAGCAGGAATGTAAGAACCATGATTTTGGATCCATAGTTTTTTAAAATATTTCTAGTTCAAATGAGATGACAAAAATAATAAATTAATATTTACTTATTTAGGTCAGCAACAAATCGCTACAAAAAGTCCACTTGAATTACGTGCACTATTACATTACAACAGAAAAGATAGAGGAAGTGTTACCAATATCGCTACAAGGCTCGGTCATGCCAGAAATTATGAGCTCATTGTTCCTGATTGGTTGGCTCCTACTGAAAGAGACAAAATACCAAGATCAGAAAGAATAGCATTTCCTAAACCACCAAAAGCTCCTGGTAAGTTTTTAGTTCATTTGTATTACTTATAACACTTTTGAATATGTTTCAATACTTGATTGTGGGTTAACTTCAGAGAAAAAACAACATTTTGAGACGATCACATAAGCAATCCTTATAAGACCTGGCCTGTCCACTAATGCTCCAATACATCTCTTGGATGGTGTTGTGTAAACCCTACTCTATTTATCATTATACCCCTATATGGGATACTTGCTTCTAATCATACTACAAAACACTTTTTTAATTAAGTTTAAAGTTGTACTAGAAGAAATTAAACAGCGAAATATTTGTGATGAATGAAAAGAATTTATAAAAAATAATCGATAGTTGGCATAAAGCATTACGACCCTTGAGGATCTATTGTGTGCCATGTGTATCGTCCATTTTATTCCTAAAACATTAATTTAGTCGCTTCCCCATGTCTTAGTAGGCTTATCAGATTGATTGGCTTATAGCTTCTGGGATTGTCCACTTGATTCTCCCCAAATAACTCAAGTCTAAGTCTTGCAAAGCTATCACATTGACAGACAATGTGAAAGGCTGTTTTCTTCCTGACAGAATCTGCATAGTAGATCCCTAGTTACTTGGAGATTTAGATCATTGTAAGTTTTTTTAGAGCTATAGGAGGGATATAGGAGCAGGTTTTGATCTTACTTCAGGCTGCATGAAAAGAGTACATACTGAAGGTGCAGGGCTTTTTGAGAGGGTGTCCCCAAATAATACCCCTCCTAATGATGCATGCATAGCTTTCAGTTGACCCTTTAGAAATAAAACAGGGCCACTTATAACCTCTCAGCACCCAGAAGTAGATCATCTTTACCCGGCATATGAAATTGAGGGTCCACAAGTTCAATAGAAGAAAATATACTCTGTACTTCTTGGGACAAGACAAAAGAAAGCAAACTTCCACTGATGCAAGGCAACACTCTGGCTGAAAACTCGTATATGTTGTTGTTTCTCATCGAACCCAACTTCACTTTAACCTCAGCTGAAGATGAAGAGATGGAGGTATTACCTACTCCAGACACAACAAGACGACTAACCTGGGAACAAAGGCGTAACTTTTTCATTAGATCAGTGGTAATTAAATTAGTTTTGGAACCTGGATCTAACACCATTCTGCATGAATACCAATGACGTGAACTTGAACAAATTCTACCCAAGGCAGTACCCAGAAGTATCTGGAAGTTGGTGGTAGCATGGCACGAAACTGTTCAAGAATTGTTTGTTACCTGAGACTGAGAGGGCTCAGTGTTTGCAGCCTGATGTAACGTCGTGTAGTGGCCCTTTTTGCCACAAACTTGGCAAAAACCTTTACTTTGGCAATTAGGCAAGCAATGAGGTCCCCGTCCAAGAAAAGCATAAATCATACCTCTTAACTAGTATGAACTATTTAGTTCATAACGACCATTAACATCGGCATCCAGAAACTGAGGACAGTTCATAATTTTATGGCTTGATTTACAAACTGGTTGTTTTAATTAAAATTTCTGATTATCTGGTCTATTGCTGGTTAAAAATGTTTTTCGCTGAACTTTAGGTTGCGAAATTTTAAAGCTAGAAGGCTCGGAACACATTTCTGCAACTCTAAGTTGTGACCTAACAAAATTTCAAAAATCTTCATATTTCAAATCTAGGAACTGTTCTTCGCCAAGACTATTCTCAAACATCCTTCTCTTATTAGGGTCTACAGAGATCAGTCCGAGATGCAGTAAAAGAAAATCAGCAAGGTTGTTGAGTTTAAGATTTTTTAAGGCATTATAATCATCTTCAAATGTTTCCAAAAAGTTTCTAAAGTTGGAAGAATTATCTACAGAAAATAAATTAAACTGTATTAATTTTGTTAAGATGGTAGGCCACAATGATCCTTTTATTACTATAATACTTTATTAATTTATCATAGGCCAAATTGTAATTTTCTGTGTTAAACTCAATTGAAGAAATGGTCTGTGAAGCAGGATGAACCAAAAGTGAAATGAGATAAGAAAATTTGACTATATCCGTGTAATTCAGATTATGAATTAGAGCATCAAATAATGATTTAAACGAAAGAAATTGTTCGTACTGTCCAGAAAATTGAGGAATCAGTAGCTCTGGCAATTTAGGATGTGCCACTAGTTCAGAAATGTTGGGTTGAGAAGCGGGAACTACTCTACTACGTGCTCAGCTTTAATTAATCTCTCATGAGTAACTTTTATCTCATAATAAAGTTATTCCGCTGCTAAAGAAGGTGCGTTTATCTCAATCCTATGCTCCTCCTCCAACAATTCATTTAGCACTGAAATTTTGTTAACAGTGCTTCAAATTCCTCCAGTTGCGCTTTAATTTCCTAAGCCCTGGCCATAAAAATTTCCTTTCTTGCAGAGAGGCCGTTAATCATATCGAAAGTGGTTTGAATTCTAAGAAACATCCTTTCCTTTTTATCATTAACAGTTTTAAGTCCCTCAATACTCTTAGTCATACAGACAGCGTCATCTTCAAAGTTGTTAAAAAAAATAAAAATTCATAATTAAATTTGAATCGCTGAAGACGTTGAGGAAATATTTACAAATCTCATTAAAATTAAAATATTGTAAGAAGAAAAAAAAACATAAATCTGTATGTTTTTATAAATTATTTATAAAATATACAATAAAATAAGTTTTATAATATATAAAATAAACATGGGAAAACAAAATAACATAAGTAAATAAAATCATTTCTGGCGGATCTTAAAAAGTTCTATTATGGACATTTCGTGATCAACCGGGTTGGGAAAGGAGTACGTGCTTAAAAGGAGAGGTTTAAATGAGGAAACTGATTGTGCATGTCGGATATTGGGAGGGATGGTATTCCATAAGGAGATTATAAAGGATTTGTCAAACGCAGCAGTTCGGTAATTAGGTGGATAGAGGTCGGAAGTTCATGATCTAGTGGGATGGGACTTAATGGAATATTTAAATTGTAGGTTGTGAAAAATATAGGAATATGGCTTGGTATAGAAAGGTAGCAAGGAAGTACAGATGACGGTTGGATAGATACAGCCACTTAACTTGGTGTAATACTGGGTTATTTGCTCATCTCTTTAGATTCTGAAAACAAAACGTATTCCGCAATTTGGTGTTTAAGTTTGGTCTTGAATTCTCCTGAGAGTCGCTGTGCACCAGACAGCCATAGTCGAAGTGGGGGAACACAAGAGAGAAAAGCAGGAATTGACTGGATTTATATGGAAGGAGATAGCGGAGACAGTTAAACTGTTTCAGGGTACAGATAGTACGATGGGAAATTTATGAGATGTGTGGTTTCCAGATGAGGGTTTGATCAAAGGTAACACCAAGGTTTTTTACAGAAGTATGGAATGAGATTGGTGAGTTGTTCTGGAAAAGTTTGGGGAGTGTCGGTAAGGATTTGAGAAGTATGAGAGATCTGATCAGGGAGGCTTTCGTCTTCTTGGCATTTAGAGTAATCCTATTGTGGTTTGCCCAGGCACAAAGTCAGTTTATACCTTCTTGTAATTTTTGGATGGCATCAGAGGATTCGGTCAGATTGAAGGAGAGGTAAGTCTAGACGTCGTCGGCATACAGATGGTATTGACAGTGTAGGATAGATGATATCGATGGAAAAAAGGGTAGGAGATACGGAGGAGTCTTTTGGGAAACCTATGGACAAGTGTAAATTCTGGTGGGGGTTATTGGGAACTACAACATGCTGGTAGTGGCCGGTAAGGAAGGATTGGAACCAATTAAGAGGACTAGTAGAAAAGGAGATATTTTTAAGTTTGGTTAGGAGAATTTCGTGGTCTACTCAGTCAAAAGCTTTGAAGAAGTCAAGGAGAATAAGGGTGGTGAGTTTCTGCTGGTCCATGGCTGTATGAAGGTCTTGGGAAATTTTGATAAGGACAGATTGTGTGGAGTAGCCAGGCCGGAAACCGGACTGGTTGGGAATTAAGAGGTTATTCTGTTCTAAAAAGTCAGATAACTGGGTTTGAACTAGTGGCTCTGAATGGAAAGGTTTGAGAGGAGAGAAATTGGATGGAAATCATTAAGAGTTGATGGGTTGGAAGTCTTCTTCATTGGGCAAACTAGTGCGGTTTTCAAGGATGTAGGAAATGTAGCGTTTTGTAGTGAGTAACTGTAGATATGGTAGAGAATTGGAAGGATGGATGGTAGAGAGGCTTTGATCAGTGACTGGGATGTTATCGGGTCCATAATCATTGGTATGCAATTTCTGAATGGAGCTGAATAGGTCATCAGGGGTAATATGGGGATAAAAAAATGATCAGGATTAAAATAGGAGAATACGTAGAAGCCGGTATGATTGCAGGAGATGATGATGAGAAGGGAGAGGGGACATATTGAGCGTTAAGGTCATCCCCAGAAAAGGAAATAAACTGAGTTTGAGGTGTGTTAAAATAGTCAGTTTTTTTAGGATAGCCCACTTGGCCTTGGGGTTTGGGTATTAGATAAGGAATGATGGAAATAACGGGATTTGGCTTGGCTTACAGCAGACTTAGTGCTGTTTCGAAGCTGCTTGAAGGCGATATACTCTTCCGGGAGTTGGGTACGTTTAAACCGTCGTCTTCCAGCATGCACTCTCTCAGAGTGGGTATCAGCCAAGGAGCAGGGTGATGTCGAATTGTTTTAGTTCGGAGAGGAGCTGGTAGTCGAGGATGGTTGGTATGGATTTCTACCATGTTGTCAATGGATTTTAAGGAATAAATGGGGTCTCACTGAATAGTGTCGAGATCCTGCAACAGGGCTTTATAGGTGAGGGAATTGAGGTTTCGGAAGGAAATGGTCCGAGTAGAAAAAAATCTGCCCGGGATGTTGTAGGGAATCTGGATAAGATCATGGGAAGACAGAAATGGAACCGGTTGCTGAAATGCTGCAAAGAGTTTATCCAGGAAATCCAAGATAAATAGATCAAGCCAGGACTCTGAGAATTGGGTATGATGGGTAGGGTTGTAGGATACTATAAAAAGGCTGAGGGATTGGAGGAGGCTGGTCAGGTAGGAATGGTCAGTGGATGGTATCATTAAATTGGTATTGAAGTTTCCGAAAAGAATAATATTGGAGTAGGAAGGGATTAAGTTGTAAGGGAAAGTCTCAAATAATTCATCAAGGGAAATTCTGGGAGGGTGATAAATGACTGCAAAGAGAAGAGTAGATGATGGGGTGAGGATTTAAGTAAAAAGATATTCTAGGTGTGGAGAATCGGTATGGGAATGCCATGGAGGATTTTAAATTTAAGGTTGTGATGGACAAAGATACCTACACCACCACCTGTACGATCCACTCTGTCATGACGAAGGAGGGTATAATTGGGTAAAGTAATTTAGGAAGACAGAATAAAGGGCTTTAACCAGGTTTCAATAACTGCAATTAAATGGTAGAAGTTGTGGAGAAAAAAAATCATAAAATTTATCAAAATGAGCTAGGAATGACTGAGTGTTGACTTGGCAGGTTAAAAGGGTGTTAGTCATGGAAGAAGGAGGGTTGGCTTGGTTAACTGACTGGAAGGGCATGAGGTATGAATATTTCTATGATGGTTGGAGCTTTTCTATGGTAGTATGAACCCAGAGTACATAATTGTTGGTGACACCTCTATCAAGAAGAACCATAAGTATAATAATAAATGAAGCTAAACAAGAAATAAAGAATACTAATTTTCTAGACATTACTAATGTTGAGAAGTAGAAAATGTACAATTTATTAAATGAAAGGTCTACCTCTTTAGTGAAAAAAACAATATATACGTGAATTAAAATGTCTAAAAGAATAAAAATTACAGTTCTTATAAAAAAAAAAAAAAAAAAAAATGATTATCAAAATATATTAAATTAAAAGCAGCAAAATTGTAATCTAGACAATAAAAATAAAAAAGGGCAAAAACAGTAATGAAAACTAAATTATATATTTAAATTTAAATTATATATATAAACTAAGTTATGAAACTAAATTACATATTAGTTAATATATACTACAAATTGCCGTGTAAAAACTACTAAATTCATTAATTAAACTCAGGCCATATAACTGCTACACACTAACTGTTCAGAAGCTTGGACCACACTCCTAGGCGAATATGAATAAATAGGTGAAATACGAATATTAGCCCGGAAGTAGACAATTTTTGCAAAAACTCATAACTTACCAAGCAATTCTCCTCCTTTACATTTGGCAAAACATCCCTAATATGGCAAAATAAAACTATATAATAATGTCTGATGGGCCAACAAATTGTTTAGGAAACCTTCCAAATTTAATTTAAAGTTTTTAATTTTCTGTTTAAAATTTTTTAATGGCTTTGATTTATTTAAAGACAAATAACTCTTAGGCCGACCGGCCACCAAATGCGCAGCTGAGCTGAGCTGAGTCAGTTTCCAAAACCGAACCAAAGGTTTTCAATGAGAGGCCGGCAAATATGTAAAATATGCAATGGAAGAATTCTTAATCGAATGTGTAAGGAAAAATATTCCATTTTAAACACAAATATTCAATTTTTCTTTTCAACTTCGACTTGATCAATTTTGCTATTTTTTTTTAAATGTTATATAGGACGGTAGTCTGTGAAGTTTCCGATCTAACAAAAATACAAGACATTTTTTCTGAAACTTTTTTTTTAATTTTCAACATAGTCTCCTTGTAACTCTACACACTTCTTTCAGCGATACTCCCTTCTCTGTAACCCGTGCAAATAGTACTTGGTGTTTTTCTCTGCAAAATAATTGTTCACGAAGGTGATTGCCTCTTCAATTGACGAAAGTCTCTGTCCTCCGAGCGCAATTTTTAGATAAGAAGTCGCTTTGGGCTAGATCTGGTGAGTAAGGTGGATGATCAATATGTTCATTTGCTCCGATGAGGACGTCCTCTTCGTATACCGTTGATTTAAGAGCCGTGTGTTTAATTTGAAATTTTTGTTCTCACGGGTATGGGGGTCTAAAAGGACTGCAGGTACTACCCCCTCTCCCTACAGCCGCCATTACTTACAATGAGGTGTTGCCCGGTTCTCAAAGGGGGTCGATGTAAAGCAGTTTATTTTTATCCACCCTATGCCATTCAGCCACAGATCAAGCTCCCAAACCTAGCTTGGGTGGCTAACAGGTCCATCACAACTATCACATAGGTAGAATTGATGAACCCCGCCCCTGTCATCCGCGAGTCCCATCAGAATCTCCAGGGGGCGCTACATGGAGGTGACAGTAGGCCTTGGTAGGTATAGGAGATCTGGGAACTCACTTGCGGTGGATAGGGCACTATTGCTCGATCGTTCCGCAAAGAGTGAGGAAGACTCCCGCACCCATCCCCCTCTCTAGACTTCTGTTACACTACCCATTTGCCCCTACCCGATCGCATTAAAAATCCATGTTATCCATTACGAGGCCTGTTCACTACTACTCCAATTCGTCTCTTGAATGGTGTTGTAGTAGACTATGGTTTTTAGTTGTAAAAGTTGTGTAAACCCTACTCAATTTATTATTATATCCCTATAAGACATTTGATAAATTGCTTTGTACGATTCATCCTCTGAATCCCAAGGGACGCCTCTGTTGTTTTTATATAGAGTTGAAGTGGCTTTATCCTTCCTACCCTCATAAGTATTTCCTGGCATCCTTCCTCTTTCAAGTCATCCCATCCCACTGACCTTCATATATCTCTGAGCTCCTCCAATTCGAATCCTCCGTTCGTTCCCGCTATACTCGTTCCCTCGTCTTCTGATTTATACATATGGGCCCACCAAAAAAACACTTTTTTTCAAAATAGTTAAGCTAAATAATTGAGTTTAAAGTTGTACTATAAGAAATTGAACAGTAAAATATTTGTGATGAATGGAAAGCTTGTATAAAAATAATCGATAGATTACCTTTCAATATTGATTTCCATAATTCTGCTGTAAGTTATTAGAATGTTAAAATAAATATAATGCAATTGAATCTCTACTTTAATGTTGTTTTTTTTTCCCCTTCTGTATGTATGATTGCTACTAATTCTGTATTATGAGTGTGCCCCAATCTGCTCAGTTGATAAATAAGACTTTACATGTACAGTTTTATAATGATAATTAATAAGGTAGATTAAATTGTGTAACACAAGGATGCAAAATAAATCATGTAAGAAATTATTCTTGTAAATATAAATTTATTATTTTCCCTAGATTTTGTACTGAATTGATTCACACTCATCTAATTTCTCCATTCATCTAAATATTAGTAAAAACTTCAAATCTTATTGTGTGTCTTGATTAAGTTAAATACAATAAAAGTAGTAAACATTAAAACATATGTGACTGAAAGGACATAATAAAATGGGTTTGCAATATTTTAAATGTGCATAAAGGGATAGAAATATTACTCCAGTTCATCACCTGCTTTTACTGCCAAAATCCTGGTCTAGTTCATCATAGTTCTGGATGACTTAATAGAGATTCGTTGTCAGTGTGGTTGATTATATTTAGTACACCTTTCTTCTACAGCACTACCTCAATGCCTACTTGCCGGACTAGTTCCTCCATCTGTAACAGTATCCTTCTGGATGATAATATGATTTTCTTAATATTCAGATAGAATGTTTATTACTAATGCTCGGAATTGTAGTATTTATGAATTTGGAATAGCTTTGAAAATGGACTGAATGAGCGTGAAACACCATCTTTTGCTTAAAAATGGAACAATGGAGTGATTGTCAGTGGGGCCCTTGGAATTGTTTTCACTCAAAGCAACTGTGTCCTTTCACTTAAATTGTTTCGTTGTTTATTTGGGATTGATCGTCAGCACCCATATGAACACTTGACCAGTCTGATGTTTCCAGAATGTATGAGTTTTACCTATGCTATATCATGCTTCTTATAATCAACTCAAATCTTATCAAATAAAATAATTAATCATAATGGTCATACATCCGAGAATATTATTATTATCTTGGAAAATCTCAAAACTATTTTAAATCCTTTTTTAAATCTATGTTCGATTGTTTTTCTATTGTATCTATTAAACTAACTATATCAATTTCCAGATGGCAGTCTTCTATATGAGCGGATCCCTAATAAACCAGAACTAGAGAAAAATACATCAGGAATAGTTGGTGGTCTTAAAAGGAAACCTTATGATGAAATGAATGGATTAGTTGACGGTACGTATTGTTAGGTTTTGTAACTTAGTTCACATTTGTAAATGAACAAAAAACCATCAAACCGAATGTATATGACTTTGAATATTGTAATTTAAAATGATTATTTGTTCAAAAAATAAAGTAATAAATATAAGTAAATACAAAAAGGATGTATATTTGTATGTTTGGAATATTTTTGTGGTTACATCTTCTTGTTCATGTAGGTTTGTATATAAAAGTAGATTTTCCTTTACTTCCTTCTCTCCTTGATTTTTCGTAAATCAAGATTGGTACTTACAATTTTGTTTATTATTTTTTTTTTTTTAACAAAGTAAATTATATTTCGAGGAAACATTTAGTATAAAAATAATTTTTAATTTCCAGATTTTTTCATTTACTTCTTTTTTAAATTAGATCCTCCTTCTCTTTTTTTTCATTGTGATATCCAATTATTTAATTTCTCTACTATTTTATGTTACTGCAAGTTTATTTTTCAGATCAATCATTGATCCACTCATGTTCTATCTATGGTTGAGTTAAGTAGACAAATCTTATTTTCATTTATAAAATGAGTAAACTTGTGATATTATCATTTATATTTTTGATTTGTTTTAACTGATAAATTGGTTCCCATAGAGAGTTACATTAAGTGGTCCAAAAATAAACTTCAGTGTTACATTATTGAAAACTCATTTATATATTTGCTATCTTTTGATAAAGTTGTAATATATGTCGATGTAAAAGTTCAGATGTAATTATTTGACAGAGAATATTTACTATAGAGAAAAAAAGAATTAAAAATATATCTGTAATGCAGAAAAAAAGAACAAAGAAAGGAGTTAGAAATTTATATCTGTTCTTAGTTGCTTTTTTTTCTGACTTATTTATTTTAATTTAAATTTTATTTGGTTCCAATTGAGTTCTGTGTTATATAGAAAAATCAACATATTACATTACAAATTGTATTCTTATATTCTTTGTTTGTTTTGTTCAATTTTTTTATACTATTTTTATTCAAATTTTAGCAAGCTCCAGTATAATTAGTATGTTAGAGTCAAATATTTTAATAATGTCATCAGTATGTAACAGACAATTAAGTGTCATGAATCTTGTTTGTAATAAAACAGATTTTTTTAATATTGTAAAAGTTATTTTCTAAGTATAATTAACTGTTTTTGTTGTATCATGATACCCTTTTCCAGCTATACTCATTTATATTTTGATTTTAACGTTGAATAGATAGACAGTTTCATAAATTATGCCATTGGTTGTTTTAAGTCTTGATGAAAGGGTGGTGTAATAAAGAGTATGTGTTCAGCGATCATGTAGTATAATTTTTTTCAATATTCTGGCATGTTGAATATGGATTAATAATTTAATGTTTAGAAAAATCCTACAATACAGGTCAAGTACTAAGCTCGAATTAACTAGTTTAAAATTGGATAAAGTATTTTAGTACAAGTTAAGTATAAAGTACAGATAAACAATTTTTTAGTTCGTGAAAGTGATGCATATATTTGTTAAATTAATTCTTTTTTAATCAAATAGTAATAATCAACCAAGTATAACAATAATGTACAATTATATTATGTAGTTCATATTTTCATAGAATTCATTATTTTATATGATACTTGATATTATATTACTGGGTATGGATTTGCTTTTTAAAAGTTGATAGTTCAATTGTGATCATAGTATTTCTTTTTCTTATATGTACATATATATATATATATATATATATATATATATATATATATATATATATATATATATATATATATATATATATGTACTAGGTTGTTACAAAAATCCTCGTGCATAAGTATAACTTTATTTTTCATATTACCTATTTTAAATGCTATTGAGTACTACTCTTCAAAGTAAAGTCAATTGTTTTCAACTACTTTCACCCACCTTTCTGGCAGTAATTTGATTTGATGCCGATACCAATCCTTTGGTTTTGAGGCAAATAGCTCTTCACATCTGATTTTTATGTCTTTGTAATTATCAAAGACCTGAATTTTTAAAAATGTGCCATTGATCTAAACATACCATAATCTGGTGCTACAATATCTGGGCTATAAGCAGAATGAGGTAAAATGATCACTGCTGGCAGTTCTGATAAATTTTTCCTTGGTCAAACGAGAATGATGGGCAAAGGGCATTGTCGTGTTGCAAAATGGCTTGGTTCCTGTTGACTAAACCGGAGTACTTTTGAATCAAAACTACCTAAAATCTGTCTAGCTGTTCACATTAAAGGTTTAAGTTCACTGCCCGACCAACAGGAACAAGCTTAAAACACAAAAACCTTTGAAGTTTCGAATTGTATTTGAATGGAAAGCTAACCCCCTTTTTTCCAGTAATGTCTGAAAAAAACGCGAATCGTGATTTTTTCTTTTGACATTGCACGAGTATTTGTAAAATGTAAATGAACTCATAAAGCCAACACAAGTCACAAGGAATTAAAGGATTGGCCAATGTATAAATTGACATGAATAGTTGGAAAAAAACATTCTTATAGGATTAATTATGAGAGTTGGAATGAAGGTTGTGTTCATGCTCAAGGACTTATGTAACAATCTAGTAATTTACACCATCATGAAAGTGAATTTTTTTTCATTTAGAATTTGCGTATTTTAAATCATTATAATTTTACCAAGAATGTTTGAAGGCATGGTTTATAAATAATCATATTAAACAAAATAGACTATTCTAAGAAATGACTAAATACTCAATATTTAACAGAATATGTTTCAACTTGAATATACTTACAGAATATATTTTTTAATATTATTTAAACAATACATATAAAAATATAATAACAATACACATTCAGAACACATTAAGAGAAACTTGTATTAACTTATTTGCATATAAATATCATAAAACGTCTAAGAGATCATTGCTACTCAGTTTTGTTAGAATCTGCCAAAAAAAAAATCACTTAATTCATTAAATGACTCTTAACCATTTATGTCCATTTCTTCTCTATCATTCAGGGTTGTTTTCAAATCATTAGGTTTTATTAAATTATCATCACTTAAATAAAATATCTTATCGAAATTTAAAAGAAAATGAAAAATTTAGTCATTAATTATATAAGCTCAGACCTTTCAATCAAAAAATTAGTCTTTTAAATTATAAAGTATCAATTTATTTTTAATTTTAATTATAAAGATCTTGTCATTCACAAGCAATCATTCATTTCTTACGTCTATGTCATAATGGGTCATTTAAGCTAGGAGATTTCTGATCTTTTCCCTATGTTTTGCCTATTGACAAAAATTTTCTGCAGTATTATATTCGAAATCGACCACCGAAACACGACAATGGTTATCAACTTTGTCTTAATTTCAAAATAATTTGAGTAACACTCAAAAATTATTATCCTAGGCAATTGCCTGGTCTTCCTGTGCCTCATTCCACCATTGTATTAATCTATTGTGCTTATAATAATTTCAAAATTAACAACTGGGTTACAAATTGACCCACCATGCACCAAGTTCATTCAAGTTAACGGTATCCTGACCAATACATAATATAATTTTGTATTGATATAATTAGCTGTAATTTTTTTCAACGAAAATATCTTTTTAACATTCCTTTTGTAAGCATGCAGCTCATCTTTTGCTTACCACATGGAGCCGTCACTGGATAAAAGTATTCTAATATGATAAGATAAATTATTTCTTCTGTTCAAATTTCTAAATAGATAATTGTGTACAACTGAAATTAAGAATGAGGATCAACAAAATATAATTTTAAGAAGTACATCATGATATACATCTAGATATGTACAAGCTATATAAAAAATGATCAGTATAGTTAAAGCAAAACAAATATGGCTGTGAATACTTCTTATCAACTAATCTGCATTATTTTTTGCTGCTACTATTTTATGTACTTGTGTAATTTGATGCCTAGTTTGAAACATTTATAAAATATTATTTTCTGCCTCAAGCTCATTTGTCTTTCCTATGATTTGATAAAATATGGTATTATGCCATTTTTAAAGCATATTAATATGGTCTTAAACTATTAATTAAAAATTCTCTGTTCAAAAGTTTTATTATGTTAATAGATAAAAAAAAAAAATTCAAATAAATGTGTATGTCTGATTTTGTTTTTTTATGATGTAGGCAAGTGGATACAATTTCAAACGAACATAACTAAGTGCCTAATACACTGTGTCTGGGATTATTCCCCACTATAGCCAACAACATTTCAATTTATACCTAGGTAGTGTAATTAATCGCTGCATATTGCCCAGGCAGCTTTGACTTGCTAGTGTTTAATGTGAATGAGTTCAACTCTTCTTTCCTCCAACTTCCTTAGAGAATTATCGAATACTTACTCATCTAATCATTATTATAATGAAGTAGAGATGGTTGACCGTGATATAATATGAGGAGTTGGTCCGGGGGAGCGGTCAAATAAATACTAAATTTTAATAAATACTATTTTTAATTAATTATAAATACTACTAATATACTATATTAATTAAAAATATTATTTTTTAAAGTTTAGTATTTATTTGACCGCACCCCCCGACCAACTCCTTCTCGAATTATTATTATAGTTTAATATTATCCATGTTTGTTATTTTTGTAACAGTTTATTTTATGTGTATTGTAACCTTGATAGATGATGGAAGGTAATACCCATGGGAAAGGGCTTTTTACTTAATATGTTATTGCTTGACAATGTGATTGCCAATACTCTTTATTCTGGATGGTATCGTTTCAGTTCCCACTTGGTTCAGTCAATATTTCACGGCAGACTTGCTGATTTTATCTGGAAATTCTCACTCTGTTTAAAACAGAACTGTTGATAGCCATTTATTGTTGACATAAAAGGGTAATTACCTGACTAGTATCCCCATAATTGATAATAGTAACAGTATCATTAGGTTCTTGATTGGTTGTAGTTGCAGTTTTCATATTATTTGTGAGAATGCAGTTTTCATATTATAATAAGATATGACGAATTTATCTTAACTACTAAATACTTAGGGTAATGTCCATTTATAAAAGTTTATTCTGAATTTAAGTGTTTTAAATCAGTGGGCACTGAGATGAATTTATTCAGCTGATTTGTTGTAGAGGTATGTATCAATTAAATTTCATGGATGTATTGATTTTTCAGAGATACTAGATTTTATAATGAACTATTTGTATTAAATTATGTTTGTTATATAAATAAAAAACATATTTACTATGCTCTTGAATGATGTATTATTTGTTAAGATCATTATAAATGAATGGATGAGAAGGAATTAGTCGAGGGTGCGGTCAAAAAAATAAAAAAAAAAAATTAAAATATATAAATAATTTTAATAAAGCAGGCAAAAATTAAAATTATTTATATATTTTAATTTTTTTTTTTTATTTTTTTGACCGCACCCTCGACTAATTCCTTCTCATATCATATCAACGGTCAACCAACTCTACATCATTATAAATGAATGGATGTTTATTAACATCATGTGCAAACTTCAGTTTAATAACATTCAACTTTCTTAAAATCAAAAAGTTTTAAATAAAACGATCTGTCATTTAAGCTTAATTTAAACTATGCTTTAAATTATATGGTAAATGGAAATTTACACCGAAAACGACCCTGTTGTAAAAATAGGAGTTATACAAAAATTACTTATTTTAATGTTATTTTTTAAAAATTTAATATCTATCATTACTTTTCAATTAATGGCATTTGTTTCAATAAGTTGATTAAGTTTTTCATTGAACATCTAAATAATCTTCATGATCTATATTTGATTCACGGACATTAATTAATATACAATTGGGTGTCTACTTTAGTAAAGATTGTGGATTTTTATTCAATACTTTTCTCCTGTATTGAATAATAGTAAAAAATTGCCATTAATGCAGTTGTTTATATCTGCAAGGAGATTTATGAGATTATTTGTATTTTTCTTTATCTCCCCCTCTCCATTTTGATTACTTCAGAGGTTTCTTAAACTTACCCGCTGTTAGATTAAAGTAGCTCATGCAGAGTTGTCAGGTTTGTTTTGTGTTTTAGGGAGGATTCAGTAATCTTGTGATGATTATTACTCTCACATTTTTTACGATTCCATGACTCCTATGATTCACTATCCTCACAACCTCCATTCTACGTTAGTGCTTTTTAAAACTTCATTTCTTCCTGATTCCCTACCACCTCATTACGTGTACTTCTAATTTATTAATTCCCTTTCAATTTTAATGATACTACATACCCTTCTTATTTTCAGTTTTCATTGCTTCATTATAAGTTGATATCAAATTAAATAACCTAAAATTGATTTGTCTTTTACAAATATTAGTTACCAGTTAATTGTATTACTCATTCTTTTTTACTTTATTATCTCAGCATTTGTATCAATCAGAACTTAAAGAAAATTATTTTTCTCTGTTCTATAATTATTGCATATAGAATGCTATATTATCTTTTATTATAATTATTCTTAAGGGGCTAACAGCCCCAGAATACAGAATCGTCTTGTCAAATTTGTATACAAACAAGGAAATCTACAAACTTCATTCTGCATCTTTTTATTTTGTTTCTTCTTATTTTTAATTCATCTTTATAGGTAAGGTTTTTACATTTTATTTATGTTTTTGAATGAATTTATAATTTTTAAAATTTAATGTTACAGTTGATTACAATTATAATTCAAGTACAAAGCAATGCATTTACTTGTGATGGAATAGTTATATGATAATTTATATTTCGCTGTTGTGCAATGTTTTTTCATTTAGTCAATGTTAAGTTGTGATATAAATATTCAATATTTTTAGTAATAAACTGGTTTTCGTATTAAATTATTCAAGTTATTGAGTTTCCACTTCTTCTTTATTTTGGTGAAGTTAACCAGGAATTTCACTTTATGTTAATCCATTCCAATTTAACATTTAATTTGTTATGTCTCTACCTCAACTTGACTTTGTTAGTTTCTAAGTTTAATTATAATTTAGTTTCTGACTTTTTAAAATTATTGTTACTGATATTATTGGCATGATGTGGTTTAGTTTTAATGTATGTTTTCTGTTTAAAATATATTTAGCTTATTATACATTATTTATCTTTTCAAATTTTTAATATCTATTTCTTAAATGCTACTTTAAAACCATAACTTTTCAATAAAATAACTTTCACATGATAAATCGAATTGAGTTTTACTCACTGCATGTTGTTATGTTCAACTAGTAACTTTATTTTTTCTAGTATAAAATGACATATTTTTAGTAATCTAAGTATAATTAATTGTACAGACATTTATAAATCAAGTCACCTGAGTAAGAAGTTTATTCATTATTATCAGAACCATTAAGTGTATTAAAACAAAAAGAAAGATATACCAATCATAAAATCTGATTAAGCTCTTCAGATTTAAAGATTTAAAAAAATCATATGAGCAATCTTCTTTAACCTTAAAATGTATATCTAAAAATTCTATATTGTCATTTGATATAAATATCATAACTATATCTAACAGGAACAAATATTTTAAGCTGAAGTTTTTTTTCACTTAATAGTATTTAATTGTGGTACCTCTAGAACCTTTTAATATGTACAATTATTATTAGGAAAAGTAATGCAATACATAGCTTGTAACAACTTTAGAGCTGTTTGTTTCAGGTACATTTTCAAACTCATTCCACTAATTTCTTAATTTAAATTGCATTTTAATTGTGATGGATCAGATTTTACCAAATATCATCCTATTATTCTTAATGTGAGCGACATATTCTTATTTTTTATTTTAAAAAATTAATATTTTCTTTTGTATTATTTATTATTATGTTTTTTTTTTTTTGTATATGGGAAGGGCTTAAAGAATTTTTCAATATTGAAACAGGTCATTACATCATGATTTATCAATAAATAACCAAGCTGTTTAATAACTTAAATAATTAACAACTCAGTTGTTTTATAAATAAATAAATGTGCTTCCTAACATGGACAATACATAGGTATATTTTTCTATTAAAACATTTAATGTTTTTTTAATGAAGTACTATTATTCAGTGGAATGTGTTTATAGTAAAATACCAAGTTTAATTGTAATGAATGATTTTTAAAAAATATATTAAATAAAACATTTTATACTTCATGTAATATCGCCTCTTGCTTGAACTGTTTCAAGTTGTTTGGAATTCATTGTGTTTATCAATTATTTAAAATATGAATGATATGATATGTAAGATAAAGTTTCTTTTAAAATGTCACTAAACCATTTTTAGCTTGGATAATTACCTGAGGGAGTTAATTTACTGTCTTGTTCCTTCCTAGCTTCTCTGTATAGTTTTTTTTTTTTTTTTTTTTAAATAGGGTCTACATGATTATTATAACTCCTGGCTAACAGTCTACTGTTTATATTGCTTATCACAGGCCGTACAATTGGTTTTGCATTATTTTGTTTAAAAATAAAGTTCAGATCATTAAATATTGATAATAATTTTTGCCTAATCAGAGCCTGTTACATATGTATAATTATTTGTCATGCTTAATGTCATTGTTAATGACAGACAGTTGTCTGTAAACATTGAAAATGAAAAGTGTTTGTTTCTTAGATCTTGAATGACCCAAACATTTTTATTGATTTCATTGGCCATTTCTAAGGTAACTTTGAATTGCTTATTTTCTTGCATTAATATCTTTTTTATGTTCTAATAATTGGTTTTTAATTCATTTCTTCTATTTTATTCATTACTTTTCCAAATTTCATCCAAACGTTTTAGTGGAAATAATTTAAATTGCCATATTGCATTGAAAACTTTATTTCCAACACAAATCTTTATATATTATTTCTCAAAGCCGTTTTTTGTCGATATGACACATCTCCCTTAATACTTGTATCAAAACTAATGATTGAGCCATTATTTTGAAAATAAGTAGCTTCTCTGCTTATTCAAAAAATAAGTACTTTCCCCATTAAAAGCAGGAACAAAGTTATGAAAAAAAGAAAACTTTATTTGCATATAACTTAAAAAACATATGATTTGTAGTTAATTGATTACATGATCATACGAAAGATGTTTCCGTTTCTTACAAGAAAATAAAAAAAAATCTAAAATTTATTATTTTCAGGGTTCAGTACTTTTTAAGAAAGTACTTCTTTACTTTTAGACCAATGTTGTGCAGGGAGGTGAATGGACCTGGATCAAGTATTTTTTAATAATAAATGTTTGAAATCTACCGGTAAAAAAAAAAATATAACCTCTCCTCCTTTAATTTATTTATTTTGAATTTAAATATCATTGAATAAAACTTCTATAGCACCCCTAGGTAGTATTAAAACTCAAGTTATATTTTCAGTATAAAAATTATACTATTGTTGAAGTTATAAATTGTGATACCTATTTTATCTATATACAAAACCACTGGTTACATTAAAATGGAAATTATTTCTCTTGACCTAAAAGAAATATCACCATCACTAAAAGAAATAATAGAAGAATGTAACATGTTTTTACCTCTAACTTAGGCCATATTTTCAGTATAAAAAAGTTATAGTAACAATGTATTTGAATTATGAGATTTAGACGTCTTCTGTTTTAGAAACATAAGAAATAATTTAGAATATTCAAATGAGCCATGTAGAAAATTTTTCCTTTCTTGATCTACAAAAATTAAAAGAAATAATTAATAATAAGTAAATAATAGTAACTTAATAAAATTTCGCACTAATACACTAACCAAACTATGGAAGGATACAACATTCTCATTATAATTTAGGAAATAACTATTTACCATAAGAAATTTGAGATAAGCAGCTCTACCTTCACTGTTGATCTTCAATATTTGGGATCTTCAAATCCCACCTGGTAGCTGTCAAAAGCTGCCACTCCCACTATACAAATCAGATCATCTCTAGTGCTAACAACATATCTACCCATAGCTTGGTGAAAGGGTTGAGTGTTTTTATGGTGGAAACTGTGTCATAAGAGCATAGCTTTGAAAATTGGTCATTACATGGGAGTGTCTGAGTTGGATTTTCAGTTCACAAACATGATGATGCCCATTATTATCTCTCTTATGTTAGGTTTTGATGCTTTGTTCAAATCTATTATTTCAGCTATATTATTAAAACATTGTAAGAGTTAACAACATAAAAAAAAAAGTTAAATTACTTTGCTCCATATCTTCGTCAAATTATGAAACAATCTTAAATTTATATAGTTACCTTTTTTACCTATATATGAATATTCTTTTTTTCCTGGTGTAATCTTACCGATTTAATTTTAACTGAATGATAATTAGGGTATCCAATTTGTTTTATGGTAATTCTATTTTCCTTCATCGATTATTAAGGTGCATTTAGACATTTCGCAAACCATGGGAATACAAATATCTAAATGGTTGTTTCCCTATGCTTCTGTTTTACTTTAACTTACCTATATATGAAACGTATAGTAAGGGACAGTATTGGGATCGTGAAAATTTTCAAATCTGAGTTTTCAACAGAAATACATGTTTCGAGGTCTCTTGAGTCCAAATAACCATGTCCCGCGTAATGGTCTGTGTGTGTATGTATGTTATCAGTCTAGCTAAAAAAAGAAAAGTCTTATGAAAGTGGAATTGTATATTTAATTTTTGTATATAACTCAGATGTTATAGCAACTTTTTCTCAAAATCGGCTATCCGAAAGTGGTACTTTATATAATCGATGTTATTCATTTTTACAATTTTCTTGAAAACGGCTCTACGACTTTGATCACAATCGATATATCAGTGTATTATTAAATTGTTTTTAATATCAGCTAGGTCTTATCCACATTGATGTCATTTTATGGAACTTAAATGCTCAATGTTCATTTATGCCTTCTTCTAAAGTACCTTTAATTTGTTTTATTTTTTAAACTTAACTGTCTCTAGTTGTTAGGAATTATGAAAAATGGCTAAATATAACTTTTGAAAGAATTTGATAATTGAATAAAGGAGAAAAAAAGAAAAATACTTATCCTGCTCGAAAATGAATCTCCGGAAATAATTGTCAGAAGCCATACGTATAATATATCGTTGGAAAGCGGAGAATTTCAGAAAAAAATAATATCTAATTTATAAAATTGTAGAAGGTAACGTAGAGTAACGAAAAAATATAAATGATATTTTCTCACTAAATGTAAACTTCTAAAAAAATTTTAAGTTTGAAAAAAGTATTTAAAATCCACCAAATCAAGACAATGACATTGTTTAAAATACTATTTCATTGTGCTTGTGTTAATGAAGAAGTGAAATATAAAAATATTTCATGGATATATAAAGCATATGTTTATAACATTAAATACATTTACTGTAGTTTAGTGATTCTAGATCCGATATTATGTTTAAATAATTAGGTATCAATGCCCGTTTATTCCGTAAATCTTCATGGAATCTTTTATAATATTAAATCAGTAAATAATTTGATGAGTTTTCCCTTTGTGATCACATTATCCACTTAAAATCAGTGTGATAACTTTTGGCCTATTTATGGCAGGCAATGAAAATCTGGTAATTTCATTTTAGTAAACTTTACAATGGAAAATAACTAATAGTCATACAGTATATAATCATTTATAGGTTGAATATACAGATATACTTTCAAATATCTCTACGGATATATGAATAGCTCAGAGACTGGAGTTGTGTGGTTTATAAAACAGATGGAGTAATGAGGTTTTTTTGCCCAACATTAATATAATTAGTAGGTTTTTTGTTATTTTAATGGTGTTATTGATTTGTTAGCTTCAAGCTATAGCTCTGTTAAAAGTTCACTTCTAAAATTGTATAATTGCTCAACATTGCCAGAAAATAATTTCTATTCAAAGTAGTGAGGTAAGTGAAAGTTGTGTGTTGCGTGCACCAGATTTTTTTCCTTGTTGGTGCCCATTTAGACATTTTACAGACTCAAAAACACAAATATCTAAATGGTTGTTTCCCTATGCTAATGTGTTTGTTTCTTGTTTTTGCTCTTTTCCATCTGCTGTTTGTAACAAGATAAATAAAACAGAAGTTTGGCTTAGCCCTCTTGTCATTGTTAGTTAAGCGGACCCTATACAGTCAGGAATGATATTCTCTGTGCTGACAAGAATCACGATAGTCACTACACGTATCAGTTAGACTGGTGTCATTTTAGCTCCGATTGCGTTTACTTTAAATCAGGTGGAACTGATAATAGTTACTTCATAATGTCCAAAAAACATCTATCAAAATTTTAAATATATATTTTGTATATATATTATACATATCAGTCAGACTGTTGTCATTTTAGCTCCAATTGCGTTTACTTTGCATCAGGTGGAACTGATAATAGTTACTTCATAATGTCCAAAAAACATCTGTCAAAATTTAAAATATATATTTTGTATATATATTATATATATAAGCTCTACTATTTAAAAAATTGAAGGTGAAATATTGCTTAAATTATAAATATGTTGGAAAGAAAAGAAAAGTGATACTAATGTACAAACGGGATCCTAAAAATAAGAGGAAAGTTGCTAATTCTTGGACCATACTCAGCAAAATTTTAAACAAAGGTGTTAAAAATTTTGATTTATTTTATGATTGTAGTAGGTTGGAAAGAAAAGAAAAATGGTACCAATATACAAATGGAATTCTAAAGATAAGAGGAAAGTAGCTAATTCTTGGACCATACTCAGCAAAATTTTTTAAATAAAATGTTAAAGATTTTGATTGATTTTTATAATTGTAGTAGGTTAGATGCAATGTGTGATGTAAAATGCAATCACTGGAAACAGCTACCACATCTGCCATGTTTGTTCTATAGCTAAACAGAAATAATCGTAATTTTTGTTTATATTTTTAGTGTTTGTGAAATGTCTAAACTTGGCTTTAGAAAATATCTTGATAGCTGGACTTAGACTACTCGGAACATGTGTTACTCTCATCAGACATTACATAGTTCATAATTTTTTTTTCCTGGAACAGATTGTCCATCATTCCTTTATAAATGAACTTATTCAGAATTTTCATTTATTATAAAAAGTTATAACTTAAAGATGTGATATCAAGTTTTAGGGGAGCCTATAGGATCATATATTACCCGTATGAAATCATTTCAGAAAAAATAATTTTTTTAAAAATAAAGTAAAACATTTTTTATTCGTTTTCTCCGTACTTTCTGTAATTTTTTATATTTCATTAATACTTACAACTTAAGTGGTAAAAAAAAAAAAAACAGTTGTATTTTAATTATCTGTCCATATTTGGTTCCATCACTATTGTTACTACAACTGAAATTGATTAAAAAAATAACTAACAGGTTATTATTTGTTAAAAGGAAATAATTAAAAAAAACAGAAATGCATCTTTTGTTACCTTAGTACAGCTGAAGGTGAGAACTTTTTAACTTCATGGCTAATTCTTCAAAATCTTTAGA